GAGAAACTGAAGTTCAAAAAACTTACGTAACTTGCCCAAGATCATAGAGCAAATAAATGGCAGAGCCATATTCTAAATCCAATGTTTTTTGTTTGTTTTTTTGTTTGTTTTTTCCTGAATCATTTCCCCTAAAGCATACCTTTTGTCTGGAACTCGCATTCAATAAATAATCACTAAATTATGCATATATGATAAACGTAACACATACAACCTCTTTAGTACTTGTTATAAACTGGATTACCAGAATTTGCAAAAGATAAATAGGCACTGGTTTTGGTTTTTCCCTCTGATGGGGAGCCGCCTCTATTCTCAAAAGAACTTTGGCTAAAGAAAATAATTACAAAGGAAAATGGTTGTTCTCTTCAAACCTCAGCAATAAGTCAGATAATATCAGGCATTTCCTAAAAGTATGAACTGTACTCTGTCTGGCACTCAACATTTATAGAGATAAGGCCCTATAGTAACCACGACACGTGTTACTATACAAAAACGGGTAAGGATCGAGTCCAAGTCTACCTAGGGAGATGTTCACCATTCATCTGCGAAGATGGGCAATTTCTGAACCAGTGAGTGACTGAAAAGAAAACCCTCAAGTTTCTAGTTCATTTATACCTTAACACTATCAAAGAAGTAGATGGCTGATGTACTTACCCAGGTGGAACATCCACTTTATTACATACCCCTATGGGTAGCTTGCAAAGGGTACTTGATTAGCTTTCATCACAACTAAACTCTCTATGTCTAAAGGACACCAGGAGATGGTAGCTCATTTAAAGAGGCAGGATATGGGCTTATAATTGGCCTTAAATTAAGTGGTAAAGAAAAGGATAATGACGAAAGAGACTTTAAAAAATATATCTAGTCAAGAGTAGAAACGTGTTGGCTTTTTAAAAAAACTATGTCTCCAAAATGGCAAATACTCTCCATATACTGACCATCGTTTCCTGTTACTAATTACTTTTTTAATAGCAGTGTGCTCTAGTTAAGCAAAAGAGTGGTGGAGAAAAGGACAAGCCCCTCCAAAGTTCTGGATACGTGGTCCTCATAGCTAATCGACATGAGAGCCACAAAAGCAGATCTAATAAGTTACAAGAATTAATTCAGAAGAAGAAAGGAGGGAAAACTTAAACCATTTATAAATGCTCCTAAAACCAACTGTGGACGCCTAGAGGTCAGGGATTGACTTCTCTCTACAGGGTGTGCTCTCCCTGGTGCTCTGACAGTTCTGTCTCTAGAAGAATTGCTGTAGATTGCCTTCCTTGCACGATGACCACCCTTCATTGCATTATTCTCAGGCTCAACCAAAGATTATATTTTTTGAAAAAAACAAAAAGAAGTCCCTACGACCTTGCTTACATGCATGCAGCATTAATAATTTCCTTGGAACTTATATTAAGGAGGCTAATTACATCCTCCCATTCTGAGCTTCTTGGAGACCATTTACAGCTGGAGTAATGGACCGATGGGACATGGGGTTGACCCAGCATGGCAACTCTTTGGACTCTCAGTAATAAAATCATTAGCACTAATGTTGTTATGCAAACCCCATCCAGCTATGAAGGCAATTTCACGAAATCATTAGCATATACAAAAATAATTTGATTTCAAAATACCACACTTGGTCACTGAGTTGGCCACCAGAAGGATGCCTATCTTGCTCTTCGTTGGTGGTCTTAGAGTCAGAACTTTCAGTTTAAGTAGAAAATGTGCTGAGAGTTCTCAAAACAGTAAGGATGGAAAAGGGGAATTCATTCTTGTGTATAGTTATTTCACTTTTTTCTTTAACTAAAAATACATAAATTTACCAGCCAAATATACTCCATTGTATATTACTTCAACTTTCTGAAGTTGAATCAGCCCTTATTCATCCTAGTGCCCATCTGTGGAATGAGGGAACTTAAGCCTGGACTTCAAACAACCGCAATTGATGTGGAAGTTTGGCACATGACAATACTCATAGTTTGACTGTTTTTTCAGAAACAGTGTAACCTGTTAATAATGATAGTTAGAGCTGAAGGGACAGGTAAAATTAGATTTTTTTCCCCCTTTACTCATATAATTTGAAGATTATACAATGTGGTTTTTAAAGGTCAGAATAAATTGCTAATTAAGTTGAGGCATTTGAAATTAGCAAATAAAACTGCTACTTAGAATAGTGACTAAGGAGTAATTAATCATACGGGGAAAAAAACGGCAGTGAAGTAGAGCCAGCAGTAAAATTATTTTTTTAACTAGTTGCCATAGAGCCTTCCCATGCCAGTACTAAGAAGCTGTTAGATATTAATTTCTTTCCTTTCTCTTTAAGTTGCATCTTAAAAAAACCAAACAGTGTTCAACAGTTTTCTAGGAAGACACAAATCAAGACAGGCATTCATCTGCACAACCCCTCTTGCAGGTACTCAGAAATATATGGACTAGCTATGACTCTCCCCTCTTTTACTCAACATGTGGAGGAATGAAGGGTTACATTATCATAGGCATAATCTTAAACCCACTCTAATTAATTCTTAAATATAAATCATGGACACTTGTTGGCATTTTAACTATTGTAATACAAAACTACTTAACACACTCTTTAAAACCAATGTTGGCACCCCCCCCCACCCCTCCACCACCACCACCACCTTTAAGAATGCCTGCTTTAAAACCTGCTTAAGAAAACATTTTGGTTTTGCTTCTAGAATTCTAGGTGCTTTTTATTTCCTTACGTGCTACACTTGCCAGACTTGAGTTTGATGCTCTCAGTCCATGCTGAGATGCTCAGGATTTCATCACATCAAGATATTTGTATATTACATTTAAAGCCAAATGTATCAACATAAATGTTACAATGAAATACCCAGAGAGTTAACTCGACATGCATATCTTAAACCAGAAAACAAAGGCCGCATTTATGTAGAGGTTTATATTTTTAAGCAGTTGACATTTATTGATTAGGCAATCGACACCACAAACCTATGAGGTAGTTTAGCATGAATTAATTAATTAAGAAGCAGAAAAAGAAAAGATCTGTCCTCACAATAATATGTTGATCAGATCCTTCTCATTCTGGTCACAAAAGAACAACAATCAATTCTTTGTACAAGCTGGTCAAATGAGCAATGAATATTTAGCTTGGATGGAATGTAGAGAGAATAGTTATTTTATTACCTGACAGTCTAAAAAGGTTATTTCTTTATTGGAGTTCTAATATGCTGTGCTCTCAGTGATCTGTCAGAAATACTTCACTTAAAGATCAACTATGGAAGAGGTGCCCCCCTCATCGCACCCCCACCCCCCAACCCCCTCTGGGGCTCAAATTGCCCTATTCTCATATCATTATTAGCATTTTTCATCTATCTCATATTTTTTGTCTGTTGTTCTGATTGGTCTAATAAATTCACTTCAATAGAAAGGTATAAAGACCCTGTCAGCTCCAATTTATGTTTATATGTCATCTAAGAGGCAGATGGAAAAAAATCCTATTGGTCTTTGTAGCCAGATAATTGCAGATGAGAGCTTTATTACAACTTTCATCAGTGAGAGGGATCACTGTGGTCCTCACCACTTAACAGATTGCTTTATGATCATATTTATGAGTGCACTTGGTGGTGAAGACTATGTATAATGAAAGCGCATTAACTTGGGTTTCACTACCACGGCATTTGTGGCCACTGGCACAAGTGCTAGCCTGAACCTTACCTCTGTACTTAGAGAGGAAAAACTCTTGGCAAAATAAGTGAATTGCAAGACTAGGAGTATTTTATCTCTATAAGAAATCATAGACTATTTCAACCCCTTAGCAGGTATCCTTTTAAATATAAAAAATTTACTCTAATATATGGACACTGTTAAGCTTGTGTTACGTTAATTTTGAATCATTTCTCCCTCACTGGAGCAAAACTTCGAAAGGGCAGTAGTTGGTTAGTGTATTTGACATTACCACAAGTATTCTGGAACCGTGAAAGTACTTTAGATCTTGATAATTTGGGTAGTCCCACTTTTTCAAATAGATAGGGTTCTCCCTTAGTTCTCCTAAATTGAGATTTTACAGGCAGCCCTGGAATTGTCCTCATCTCTTCCGGAATCTCTGCTATAGTCAGGTGGCCCTACCAGAACAGCGCCACAAAGGTCAGGTCTGCGTGGGCCACTCCTTCTCCAGAATTAATTTTGCTGTTTGAAAATATTTACTTTATAGCTCACTCCCATTCATTCACAATGAAACTGGGAAGTAACATGTGACCTAATTAAACAAATATAACCATTTTAAAAAAAAACAACAAAAAACAAAAACGACAACAAACAGCTAGCTTTCCAAACAGGGATGTTTCCATTTATATGACTTCCCCAAATTTAAATAACATTCATAGGCTCTTCTTGTTTAAAGCTGAATATGTCACCGCCATGGTACACTGGAATGACAATTTCCCTTACCTGCATGGGCAAAAATAAGTAAAGAAATTTGAAAACAAACAAAACCTCTGACAAGGTATTCACTTTCACTTGACAGGTTGCCAAAGAGCAATGGTACTCAGATGAGGAATTCTGAAATAATAGGATTATTATATCTGGAAGCTTATCTATAAAAGGTTGGCATAGCCTCTCTGTAAAGCAAAAGAGATCTGTGTTCAAGGGCTCATCTATACTATATTAGGTTTTTTAAAAAACAAACAAACAAAAAAAACCTGAGGGCATGAGCTCACTCACTAAACACAGAAACAAAGACTTTTTAGAAAAAAACTTGAACAGTGCTTGTTTTACAGCAGAATTGACAAACAAAGCCTTATTTTACACATTTGAACTAAAGTCATCATTGGAGGTTTGTAACTCGGTTATGTGCTTTCCCAAAACAGCAAAATAGATTCCTTTCCATCAACTCCTCCTTCCTTTCCACACAACAGCACGTGGCTGGTGTGGTGGCTTCTCTCTGCAGGCACAGAAGCTGGCCACCCTGGTCCCTCCTGAGTGGGCTCTCTTCAAGGGGATGGTGCCAACTTCTAAACACCTTAATAACAACACTGTGCATGTCTAAGTCATTTTATTTATTGCTCACTGAGTTGTAACCATTTCAGCTCTCTGTGGAAAAACAATAGACCAGAAAACCCTGACAGCAGGAGATCAATTGCCTGTGGTCACAATGTACAAAGGGCAACCTCAGCTAGAGCATTGAGAAGCATCGTGAAAAGAAGGTAAATGCCTGGCTTTGCACCCAGCCCGCAGGACATCAAATCCAGTCACTACGGAGAAGAATGAAACCTAGAGAAACAGCTTTATGATTTACACTCAGAGGCGTTCCCCATCAGAGAGTCGCAGTGTTCCAGTCTGCCATACTGGCCACTGGTGTTCTTTCCAAAGTAATCGAATCTCGGTTCAGCAAGAAGACTTCGGTGAGACACAGAGGAATAGGGGACCTCACTATACCCGAGGCTTCATTCTTCAGAATTGACTCACTGGTTTCCAAATCATCAGTGCCCCACACGAAAGCCCACAAGTCAGGCCAACTTCATAGGAAACATTCATTTATTTTTCTCTCATTCTGGGGTTTATAATTCTTCTTTTGGATGCCTTTGGGAAAACATTTCATCAAGGTCAACTGCTGTGAAGACGTTTTTGCCTAAGAGGATCATCATGCAGGCAAACTAATTCTTTTTCTAAGCTATTATTTTGGCAGCTTGCGAAGAGGACTCGGCTTAACTTTGAGAAGCTGTACTTTGAATGATCAGAAAAAAAAGATGAGGATCCTTCCATTTGCCCTCTTCATTCTCATTGTTCAGACGGCAAGCCTGGCTCACATTTTTGAAGGTGAAATCAGACAGACCAGTACTCGTGTACCTTATATATCTTCTACTAAGAGTGATTCTGGCTCTGTTCATGTTGCCACAGCCATGTTCAACCATGATGAAAAAAATGTTTGTTTCTTGGTTAGAGGTGGTTTACATCTCAGTCATCAAGGATTTAATAGAATAATTTTATATGTTAAAGAAATGTAGAATGAACCAGAGGTTTAGATGTTTCCACTGTCTTTAAGTTTGAATGTTGTTCCCACTGTTTGCTATAGGGTTATATTTTAGAACATGTGCTAAATGTATTATCAGGAAAGAATTTAAAAATCCAAACATTATAACTTACCACAAAATTTAAAATAAAAAAAAAAAGAAAGAAAGGAAGCTCATTTATTCTCCAAAACTAAGATTAGTCATATGTTAATCTGTGAATCCTCATAAGAAATGTTCATTGTTCAAGAAAGAATCCTCCTCTGGTGGTTGATAAGCAATTCTCCAGGGCAGAGAAACTGACATTTGTTCTCATCTCTTGATTGATGTTTTCACTACTTATTCTTCAGGCTATAAGACAGAAGGGAACACAGTCTTACCTTCTTTCATAATTACATATCCCAATATGTCTCTCTCTCTCTCTCTCTCTCTCTCTCTCTCTCTCTCTCTCTCTCTCTCTCTCTCTCTCTCCTTTTCTCTCTCAATCTCTCCCCACCCACATCACTTTACCCATCAAATTAAAGTTGAATTTAGATGATAAATCTTTCAACTCTAAATAATCTGTGTATAGAATAACTCAATTACCAATGTCATCTTTATGTATATAGAAGAAAATATATATCTTTACACTGTCAATCTAGGCACTACATTTATTCTGAAAGTTTTAAAAATGAAAATAATAAATTGATTTTTAGTTATGGCACACTGCATATATTCATCTCTAAGTTTCGGGTAGAAGCCTCCTGTTAGGAGGGGAGAGCAACATTATAGCATTTTGATTTCAAATTATTATAGACCTCATTCTCAATTTATTCAGAATTTTCTGTTAGATAAATAGGAAAACTAGTTTCTGGTTGTACTCTCAAAAATATTGATTTAAATCAAATAGATAACTAATTTTTAAAAGGTTTTTAGTTTGTTTTTCTTTATGGTAAGCAGATATCACCATATACTGCATGCCTAGTATGTGTCAAGAACTTCACATTTATTTCACATGATAATTTAATCCCCCAAGCCACCTTAAATGTCAATATTATTTCTCCCCATTTTAAAGGCGAGAACACAGGCTTAAACTGGTTATATCAATGGCACAAGGTCATAAGGCTTCTGAGGGGTAAGAGTTGAACACTGGGAAAGATCAGAAACAGAAGGAAAAAGAACTGGTGGACATTATGTACAGGAGATTTCTCTCATGCTATTGAAGACATTTTCTGGCTGCATTCAGGCTGCTGCCAAAACAGTATTTTCTAACAGTTGCCTATGAACCCTAAAGCTACATTTTAGAGAGGAGTGGGGGAGCAGGTAAGAACCTTTGCATAGACTTTTTTATTTCACATCACTAAGATCTAAATATCTTAGTGGAAACTGATAAATAAAAATTCACTAGCTACAATGGAAAATTTTATCTTTTTCCTAGAAGCACACAGTGTATCTTGAAATTTTATTTAAAAAAAAAGCTGAATAGATCATAAGAATGGAATATCCAAGTAGATCCAAATAAGAATTTGAATATTATTTGTATAATGCAGAAAAAAAGAAAATGGAGACTACATGCATTTTTCGTGTTCTGTAAAAATAGCTGTGAAATTTTGCTTTGGAATGGACCTGGTAACCACAACAACTTTTAAATAGTTATAAAAAGTAAAATCCTGTTTTTGAATATTTACTTTCTGCTACCGTCTGGTCATAACTTAAGGAAATTCTGTAGTTGTTGCCATCTTCATGAATTCATGTGACATCAAGGTCGGAAGTTCTCACTAAGCAAACAAATACGATCTCATTTTTATAAACTGCAAAGATGAACAGTTTTAAAATTAAAATGAGTTTGAAGTGCAGCATTCGTATGTCATAGTTGAAGACCAAACATATCCACAACTGAGCAATCTTCAGTCATGATTACATCATTAAAGGAAACCAGAAAAGAGTTCTTTTTTTTAACTTATTGTAAAAGTAGTATATTAAGAACTTAATCCCATAATGTGAAAGAATATCACACTTTTCCTTTATAGTCAGAATAATTATTCAGATCCTTTCTGAACACACAGAAGTAATGACAAATTAAAATGCTTTTCAGTTTCATATAGCTTTTATAATTATTCATCTGCTACTGTTATTATTGCTGGAAGGGCTCCTTCATATTATAGTCTGCAACCCATTTGATACAAAAGAAGATGGAAATTTTTGCTATTAATAAATATGCAGCCTTCTAATCCAAGGAAAAAATTCTTTTTCATCTGAGAGATAAGCTGCATAATTTATATATTTTCAGAAATTTCTTTAAATAGAAAATTGAAGAAAGACATAGGGAAAAAAAGAATTCATTACATCATTTCCATTTGTGGTGAAGAACAGTCTTTGTTCTCAGAGTCAGAAATTTGATTTGAGTTGAAGAGACAATTTCCATTGCACGGTACACATACCAAGGATACTCATAGAACTCACTTTATTTTCAACATACATCATCATAAAAATGAGGACAACACAGCCTCCATTTCACTTTCTAAAATAACTAAATAAATAACAGTCATGGAAGGCTACTAGCGAGTTTTCTTGGGGTCTTGGAATGCGGTTAGAAAAAGTTAAAACTATTTGGAATGGGTACCTCTATCTTCCAAAAGGAGAAATTTCCATGCCAGCGAACTGTGGGGCTCCATCTAACTTCTCCAGCTCATCGGAGCTCCTGCCACACAGTAATCACCTAGCATGGTGGGTCTTGCATTCCAAGACTCCAAGCCAGATGAGAATCATGTTTGCAGGACCAGTTAGATAAAAAATGCTTCTTTCTCTGCATCATCCTTTTCCCATTCTGACCTGGGAGGTTCAGAGGGGGCAACGTTCTAAACTGGGTATGAGATAGTCGTCTCATGTCGACTGGTAAGAAATTCTTAATACCTGAAAAGGAATCTTAAATATTGAAATGTAACTGTTCTTACCCTAAAAAATGGCCGGAAATGTATGTAGTCTTTGTGCAACATTATCAAGATGGGGGAGAGAGGTGGGGAAAGCATTCTGACCAAGTGTGTTTGAAGGTGGCACCTATAAGCAAAACTTACTGATTCATTTGCCCCATGCTAAATTTAAACTGTTTCATACACCAATTAAAAAACAAACCAGAACATCCTCAGCCATTATCAAGCCTAGTTCCTGATAGCCAGGGAGCAAGTTTACTGTGACATTAAAAATGACATCATGGCCATGGCTCATACGAAATGATACGGCCAGAATTTGTTAGATGAGGAAGAGTTATGTCCCAGACATTTTCCACAAACATGTTGCTGAACAGTCATGCCTTTGCACTTGACTTGTTCAACCTACTGATTGAGGTATGCCATGAATGACATCCAGGGACTTGTCACCTTTGCTCAATTTATTAAGATAGTACAATATGAAATAAAACTAAATTAAATTTCCAAAATCGAACATCTCCCATTTTTTTTCTTTTCCTGCATTCCCTAGCTTGGCAAATAAGAACTTAGGGCAGAAATTCAGGGTTTTCCTAGGTGTGTTGTTTTCTCCCTCACTCCATAAACAATCAACCACAGATCTCACTGGCTTCCTATTTCACTCTTAAATATGTCATTTCCTCTGCTTCGCCTGGCCATGCCCTATTCCAGGCCCTTGACATTCCACAGGTCTTCTATTTGGCATCTTTGCAACCAGCTCTGTTGCTTAATCACACTGATGCTGTAGTGCTCTAGGTTCCCATCACCCACTGCAGAAAAGTATACCACACTGAGGTCATTTGTGATGTGACCACTGCCTTTTCCTTCAGCTCCATCTTATTGTCAATCATGCCCCCCATAATCACTCTACACTCTGATCACAGAGATGACGAGGTTTTGCCACACTCTCACATGCTTTCTAAGGTTTGCACGGGCTCTTCCTTCTGCCTGGGAACTCATCCCCTACCCTTTTACTTGCCCAGCTTTTCACATTCCTCTCAATGGAAGCATGCTTCCTTAGGATATCCTTTCCTAAACTTACCCTGGCCTAACAAAAAGTATTTGGAATATTTTAAGCAGCTACGTGGAAGTAGAGAACAAAACCTCAAGAACATGCCCAAGCTACAGGAAGTGATCAGGAAACTGGTATGTTTAAGGCAAGGGGTGAATGAGTTTTGCTTCTGAGAAGGATGAATGGCAGGGGAATAGGGAGGGTTTGGGAAGAAAGGGAAGAAGAGAAAGAGACTGTGGGAGCTGGGGATGAGGCATGGAGGGAGTGGAACCAGAAGGGTGGCTTTGTTCTGTGCATGATGCTATCTCTGGATGACGCCTAAATCTCTGAGAGTTGTCTGAACAAATGCAATACTTGCAAAATGTTACTAGTGGAAGTCTATGTAGTCTGATTGATAAGAGGAGAGCGTGTAGCACTCAAAGTTATAGGGGGAGAAAGATGCAGAAAGACCACAAGGCATGGGGAGTTAAAAAACATAGACAGGGTTTTGGATCCCAACAGACTGTTAAAAACTTTGTTGGGTAGCCAATCTAAGATGACTGAAGTGTGATGGGGTTCACCAACATCTCTGACATCTGGGTAACACAAGATGAATTTAGCCATATCCTTTTTGGGGAGCAAATTCCATCGATTTATAACCATTGCATAAAGAAATTATTTAAGAAAATTCAGGTAATTCAAAGAAAAGTCAGATACGATGAACATTCAAGAAACTGTGATTATTTAAAAGGATAGAATATTTTAAATAAATGCAGCTCTATCACTTCCTAATACACAGAGTTGTGAAATAGACAAGAGCAATTTATAATTAACTTACCAAAACACCTAAGAAAACAAGCCTCCTCTGATTATATAGAATTTGCATTGTTTATATGCAAATTAATGCTCCCGATGTGCTTGCTAACAATTTATTCCTTTAAGAAGGCAAACATTCTCTTTATAATCTTGTTTACACTATTCATTTGCTTTGCGAAACATTTTTCATAAAAATCGCAAAATAATGAAATGTTAGAGGCAGAAGGGACCCCAGGGATCACAGGGAAATTCAAAGTCCTCATTTCACAGAAGAGGAACTTGACACATCAATATACCCTCATCATTCCTGATGCCTGCACCCTCACTCCCGGAGCCCCCTTATTTGGGGGCCTCCATTCCTCCTACGTTGGGGGTTCCAGGCACACCTGAGGCAGATGCAAACAGACCAAGGAACCTGCAAAGTGCTAGGCTCTGGGGCATCACCAGGGCTCACCTAGACTGATGCAGGAGAGCCCAGTACCCTGTTTCATTCGCTTATAGAACTGGAGGCCTGGCTAATCCCTGTTTGTTTCTAAGCTCAGCTCCTACTTTGTCTCTTGCAGGAAATCTTTCCTGACTCCCTCTTCCCCCTACCCTGTCCT